ACAGTTGATAAGTTTTTCAGTTTAGTTTTGATCACCTTAATGAACAAGAGCACTAGCTCATGCAAAGCAAATCCGTCAACAGCCGTTAAATATGTTTTATCATATTGAAATCTGACTGTGTCTATAGGCCAGCAGTTAAGAAGGGTAGTGCCCCTTCCAACATAATCTTCCTATTCAAACATAGGAACTACAGCCAGCCGGCTAAACGCTCTTACCGATCTCCAACTGGAACGAGGAACGACCGCCCGCTACCTGTGGGCTACGCATCGGCCAACCGGCCAAAAGTACAGTGACTGCTGCGAGGGACCTTCCTGAACCACTCCTAATAATATTTAATTTGTATATTACATCTGGAAAAGAGATCGGGTACTTTAAACCTTATTTAGCAAAAAAGGAGCGCCTCATATTGATGCAATTAAAATCCAATAAAATCAATGAATGAATAATGGATACGATTATTTGAAATTAAATAACAGTCAGAAGGAAACTCTATATGTCGCAGTTTCGTTGTTATTTGCCATAATGCTAGCGCAGTGAGTTCCGATCGCACTGAAGTACTACGCACAACTGCACTCTGTCGCACACTTCTTCTACGTGCTTACCAGCGAACCACACTCGGCGTCAGCGACAACACGGTGGCGCCGCGCTAAAACGGTTCTTCCCAAAACTATAAACTACAAGCAACCAATAACTGCGCAAATAGAGGCTGATGCAATATTTCCATTATGATGAAATACACTACCAGAATACCCATACACTAACACATGCAAAATTATGCTCCGACACGGCCATCCTGACCATTACACGACCTCGTGAAATATTATCATAATGCTTTTTCTGTAATGCATCAAAACCATTTTCAAATTACACTTACATTAACAAATTAAATTTCACACCTCAATATCATTCCTAGAGCAATACAAAACTTTTTAACATAATTCATTAATCATTTCATTACAATATCTAATGCGATACACGCCATGATCAAAACAATTGTTTTGCACTTGTGCTTACATTATTATTATAAATTTCATTATAAGCCCTTCAGGCCTCCGCAGTGTCACTTGCTCAAGCTTATATTCTAATCATTTCATTACTGTCTCTTTCAACAGCTTTCTTTTCCATTTCCTTATCACTGTCTCTTTCAACAGCTTCATTTTCCATCTCTTCATCACTGTCTCTTTCAACAGCTTCATTTTCCATCTCTTCATCACTGTCTCTTTCAACAGCTTCATTTTCCATTTCTTCATTACTGTCTCTTTCAACAGCTTCATTTTCCATTTCTTCATTACTGTCTCTTTCAACAGTTTCATTTTCAACCATTTCATTTAAATTCTTTTTACATTTTTCTAATTCTTCTTGTACTTGCCAATCTGGCATTTTTCTTATGTCATCGTGAGCATATTTATATTTTCTATTGTTCGTCAACGACCTGAGCATATATCTATCCCCTTCCAACAATTCGGTTATTTCAAAAGGCCCTCCAAACTTCGGACTTAACTTTGTTTGATGCCTTTCTTCACTTCTCAACAACACGAAATCTCCAACTTGACATTTAACAACTTTGGCTTTTCCTTTATCAAATTTCCTCCTGCTATATGCTGCTGCAGCTGAAATATTGTGAACTGCCTGCGCTCCCACCTCTGTCAAATCAATCTCGTCTGCCGTATCGCAAGGTGGAAGCAACCCCAACGGGCGGGCAACTTTGCCAATAAACAGTTCTAAGGGACTTGCCTTTGTTGCTTTACTAACCGTACAGCTTAACGCTAATTGAACCTCTCCCAACGCACCTTGCCAAGCGCGGCTGCTAGTCTCAACTGCAGTCAATAAGTTCTTTAAGGTGCTCATAGTGCGTTCGACTTGCATAGGGTGAGCAGCTCGGTTTTACAATCTTACACTCCAATAGCTCCTTAATTTTTTTCACGCACCAACTCTCTTTCATTTGGACTAAGCCTATATGGTCTTCTTTGAACAATTTTATTTGGGTCTACCAATTTAATTTTCATTTCCCCTGAGCTAACCCCAGACAAAGGAATTCCGTTAATAAAAGATTTTGAGTATTTTCCCATTAGACTCTTTAACCTCCTCATATCATCACCAACAAGATCAGCATTCAACTCGCAAAGTTGTTTATCATTTGAACAATAATCTACAGTTTTTGATCTGATAATTTCAAATTGACCAGGTGATACTATTACATTAAATCCTGAGAACAACACTTCTCGACCAATAATGGTATCATTTCTTAAATGCACATCGTCCAAAACATGAAACAATATCTCAATACAATAGTTGTTAATTTTTACGTTACTAAGTATTTGCAATGTTCTACAAATACTACCATTGCCAATACCTTTCAACAGCACTACATTGTTAATTCTTTTACCAACAAATTTGTTACTTAGCTTTTGTTTAATCAAAGAACATTCCGATCCAGAGTCAAAAGTTATTGGATATGTCTCGCACTGATGAACCATCTCGCCCTGAAGCGTGCCTTTTTCTTTCTTCGGTTTACTGCAATATGTTGAAATATGGCCACGTTCTCCACAGTTAAAACAGGTTACATCCGATTTTTGATGGTGACCAACTGCGCTTCTATCGTTGCTGTCCTTAGCACGAGATGAAAGATTTTTCTGCATTTTGTTTAATTCTGCATTCGATCATCTTGTGGCCTAGTTTTCCACAGAAATGACATCTTATTTCAGACGGAGCCGCTTCTTCTTGCAGAGTTTTCTTCCTTTTGTTGAAGGTAAATGCTTTAAGCTCCGTTTGCAATTCACTTCTGGTCCGTACATTTGAAGTAAATGTCAATCGCTGCAATCTGCTATCCACATGTGCCATATTAGCAAGCGTTACTGAAGCTGCAATTTCCTCCACATTCATATCACGCCATTTCGTAATAAGTGACGTCATCATGCGACTAGCATAATTGGAAAGGCATTCACCGTCAGTTGGACAATCTGCCAGCATTGCCAAAAACATAGCCGCTGGAGTTTCCGCACTGGCAAAACGTTGATCGAAAAGTTCTTTAAATTCGGCCCAAGATATGCCAGGATAACAAATTTGAGCAAGCCACTGCGAATCACTACTTTCCATCGCTGCACTCAAAGCCATCACCAACGCGCTGCCTTTTATGGTGTTTTCTGCAAAAATTATGTCCACTGTAGAGCACCACGCCGTTGCATCGACGCCAGCACCGTCTGCGTTGAATTTGGGTAGCACTACCGAATTTTTATTTGTTGTTTCGGATGTCGTTGTTTGCAGTATTTTAACAAGCTCAATAAAGTTTCTATTTTGCATTTCCATTAAAATCCGCCATGGTTCACTAGACATATCAGGTAGCGAGCCCGATCCCACTTCTGATGTCGCAGTTTCGTTGTTATTTGCCATAATGCTAGCGCAGTGAGTTCCGATCGCACTGAAGTACTACGCACAACTGCACTCTGTCGCACACTTCTTCTACGTGCTTACCATCGAACCACACTCGGCGTCAGCGACAACACGGTGGCGCCGCGCTAAAACGGTTCTTCCCAAAACTACAAACTACAAGCAACCAATAACTGCGCAAATAGAGGCTGATGCAATATTTCCATTATGATGAAATACACTACCAGAATACCCATACACTAACACATGCAAAATTATGCTCCGACATATATATATACTTTTTATTGATCACTACCTAGATCGAGATCTCGGGAACTATAAAGTTAGAAAGTTGAAGCTCAGCATGCAAATTCTGAGGACGTAAACAGCGCAAGTTTGTTTTGGGTGATTCCCACGCGGGCTGCTTCTTTTCAGTTTTTATGGTTTTATCATTTGTCTTGGCATTTCTATTTCTATTCTAACGACCACAAAACTTTTTTAAGCCCTTTAGATCTATGACTTTTCTTTTTAATACATGTGTATTTGTTCGGGCAACATTTACGTTAACTTAAATACTTATGAAGAAATTTTATAAACTATGATTTAAAGACGTAAGCAGTATGTAATATAAACACCACTAAATCGCTTTTTCTGTAAATTATTAAGAAGTGGTAAAAGGGTTCTGTAATACAAAAACTCAGGTGCAGGGGCAAAAAGCGGGCGTTCATCAGCCTGCAAAGAAAACATCAGTTATATAATACAATGAGGATCTTCAGGATATGAAATACAATTGTATTTATTTGCATATGGTGCGATTGTCGTGCAATAACCAAATAATGACGTAAATAGTTCCAACATGCCTACTTCTTTGCACAACTAGGCCAAGCCGCCAGAAGCAGCCATGGTGTAATCAGACTTTATGTTTTTTGATGCAAAGAGAACATTAGTCCCAACTATCTTTGCTTTGTTCCACATAAATAAGACCTGTTTTCCGTTTGGTAAACATATTAATAGATAGTGGTTTAGTAAAGTTTCTTGACTATTAGACACCCTCTACATACTCAATGAAGTGCGAAATGGAAATTTAAAAATTTGTTGGATTATCAATAGAAATTTGCAAGAAAACTAATAAAATCAAATGTATCAAAATATTTTTGAAAATTGTGGAACTAATGGCATTTTGCGGTTTGTGGGCGTGTTCAAAAATTTCTGGCATATATGTACATAGATAGAAACTGGGGAAATAATGAAATGATATTAAATTTAAAATAATTCAAAATATTGGTGTGACTGTTTTGGGCGGATTTTGTATGTTAGAGTGGTCATGGAAAACATATTTTTGGCTTATCGATGCCAATTCGCATAAAATGATATAAATACAAAGTGGTGGGTGACCAAGTTTAGAGCTTTTTGAAGTCGGTTTCAAGATGTCGTGTTGTGTTTCAGAACGTAGATGAAACAAACTTGGCAAGTGTAGGCATCACTAGAAACCGCATGCCTAATCTATCTTATATGTTATATTTTAATTCTTCAAATAACGAAATAATTCATATCATATTATATCATATTTCTTATTCCAGCGTTCCTCCATCGCCGCTAACTCCCCGACGCTATCTTGGCGCACATGTTAATGTGGTATAACAAAATTATTTTGATTATCTTGGCAGTGCTTACTTTGTTGTTTGATCTTTATAACCGACCATAGCGTTGAAATTGTAAAGGCATTACTTAAAAAAAAAAAAAATGGGGAGAAGGAAGTCTAAAAGGAAACCGCCTCCGAAGAGAAAGAACATTGAACCCCTTGATCAACAATTTAATTGCCCATTTTGTAACCATGAAAAATCGTGTGAAGTTAAAATGTACATAATTAGGAGTTCTGGTTTTAATATTATTCGACCGAATACGTAGCCATAGAAATTTAATTTGGATCTACATATGTATATGTACATGCATGAGTCAAAAAAGTCCAAAATGTGAAATTATTACAAGAGGTATTGTATTTTTATCATTTCAGGGATAAAGGCAGAAATACAGCGAAAATAACTTGTAGGGTGTGCTTGGAGGATTTTCAGACCGGAATTAACTTTCTTTCAGAACCTATTGATGTTTACAACGATTGGGTCGACGCCTGTGAAACAGCAAATTAAATGGAATTCCTTTTAAGTTAGTTAGTAAGTAAAATAAATTGCTAGAGCCCCCTACGTATAGTTTACGAAAACATTAAGTTTAATACAAAAAGTAAAAAACAAAGTTTTGTGTATTTTTGAACGTATGGAACTGTCTTCAGTTTGTACGCCGGTTGCTCTAGAAGTTACTATATATAGTAAAATATATAAGAAAGAGATTAACAACATGTACTCCAATTTAAAGACACTTTAATATGCTTATGTTTTATTAATATAAGCTGGACAAAGAACTCTTGAAATCGAGCACAAACCTGCTGAAATACTAACCAATTTTTGTTCAAAGGGATCGTGTCTTTGAAAAATGGCGAACAACGAGATTGTAGTGCGCAAGGAAGCCTAAAAGTGCGGTGTACTAATGTTAAACAGGTGGTTGGCTTAATTTATGTGTCCGAATTAAATGTATTCATTATGCAAATTCACACGGAGTTCCAAGCTGTATCATCTTTTCAAATACCGTTTCAAGGACGGGGAAACTACCTTTAGAGGCAAAAAAATTATATTTTTTGCTTTGAGGAAGCAGAAATGAGGGCAATTTTTTTTAAATATATTTATTTACGTGATGCCTGAGGTAATGAAAAAAAATTTTATTTACAAAAGTGAAAATTGTCATTTAACAAATTTTATAAGAATCTTATAAACTTTTTGCCGCTGACATCGTATATTGTGTAAGTGATGCTGGCCACAAATTCAGTCAAAAACTAAATAGAATGATATAGTCGATTATAGTGGACTATCAGATACCCGTTACTCAGCTAGTGGAAGTGCGAGCAAGAAATTTCATAATTTTCTTGAATATCGGTAAACATTGCGAATAAAATTAAACAAAACAAAATTTGTTCGAAAGTGTGAGCGTGACAGTTTTGGGCGGTAGAGTAGGCGTGGCAAAACGATATTTGGCAAATCTGTAGAAATTTACAAGACTAATAAAATAGTGAAACAATATCTAATTTATTAAAAATGTGGGCGTGGCAAAAATTTTTTGGGAAAATCAATTAAAATTTATAAGACTAATAAAAAAGTGAAAACATCAACATTTTTCAAAAGTGTGACCGTGGCAGTTTTGTGCGGTTTGTGGGCGTTAAAGTCGGCGTGGCAACATGTGGAACTTATTTATATATTTATTGTTACAATTTTAAAAGTTATAAATTTTTGTTAGACACTGATAAAAATACCTGTCCCTCGATCTGTCCTATTTTATTTCTTATCACCCATTATTTGGACTTAATGTATATTAATTCCAACAATTGTAATATTTTGATAGCAATCACTAAGTATTTTCTAACACGTGGTAGATAAAACATTCAAAAAATCATATAAGGTACAAAAAATTTTACATAGTTAAATATTTTAAGACCCTTATTTTCAAGATAGACTAATCACAATAAAATTCTCATACAGTACTCTATGAAATTATACAAATTATAAAATAAGTAATAAATAATACAATTCCATTGTGGATAACTGGACCAAACTGGGTGATATTTCACAAGCGTTAATATACCTACTTTGGACAAATAAGTCATTTTACAACTGAATTTTCAAGTAACAATATTTTTTCGAGCAAGGAATTATGTTCAGGAAGTCCAAGGTCCAATCGATTGTGCAAAGAACAACAATTTTCAAGCCACACTTCTAAACAACATTTATAACTACTATCATACTCTAATCCTTAATTTAGAAAATATTCCAAAGAAATTGATTAACAAAATTAAGAAAAAACCTATTGCGGAAGACTAAACACTAACAGATAGCAACCGTCGCACTATCAGCACGTTCACCAAATCCTATAATGGAAGACCTAGCAACCACCACAAGTTCCCACACTTCAAGATACCCAGATTTCGGGACTGCTGACATAAACAAATTAAACAAAAAAAGACGAAGTCAACAAATTTTTTTTTATTTATTCATTTTATTTACATCTGTCTTAATTGGACATAAGGTAAATGTTGTAATTAATATTAAAAACACCAGAGGCAGTAGAATTCATTAAGCCTACTACATAATCTATGTACTTTTTTTTTTATTTATCTATGAGGGAGATCGAGCACTTGAATTCGTTTGAGTCTTCTTACATTGGTATTGTTGTTAATTAAACTTAAGGCTAAATTGTTTTCATGAATTCGTAATCTATCTATATATTTTTTTCTATATTTTGTAATTTCATCTTTAACATAAGGGATTCATAAATCTTATGAATATGAGATATAAAATGGAGCATTAACAATTTGCCTTAATATTTTTGATTGATATCGTTGTAGTATCTCAATATTTGAGTTGCTAGCAGAACCCCAGAGCTGTATGCCATAGGTCCACACGGGCTTTAGACACCAGAATAATGAGATGCGTAACGCCATACGATTTGTTTGCACACGACTTTTGTGCTGGCTCTAGAGCTGGCTCCAGGCTCTCGAATTTTTGTTCAAGAGCCAGCAAAATATGCAAACTTATGTAAATGACCAATTTTCAGTATTTTAAATGCAAATATTATTTTGTTGAATGTTTTTGTTATATTCTAATTTGATATTTTTAACTACATCGCAATTTTCGGTGGATAAAAAGGGTCGCCAAATTTATGGTTTCTTCTTTTAGTTCCTCTTAATCGGTTTGCTTAAAGCTGACAAATATGTAGATAGATCTCATCGTTTGTTCCTTTTTTTTCCAAATTTTAATAATATATCCGTATTTATATTCAATAAAAGTTTATATGTAAAGTTCAGTTGTAAACGGTAGCTAATTCGATCGACGATTTTAACAAACGAATTTTTTCTTGGATGAACTAGTAGCTAATATAGCTGTATCATCAGCGTATGTTGCCACAGTGCAGGTTACTGGCATATCAGCCGTGTACAGGATGTATAAAACAGGTCATACGACGCTGCCTTGAGGGACTCTAGCCACGGTGAGGAAAATAAATAATAATAATTAAAATAATTATTAATAATACAAAATAATAAATGAATAATACAAAATATGGAATAGGTAGGTACTTTTCAATTTTATATAACAGTCCGTTATGCCAAAATCGATCAAACACTTGTTGAGCATCAATAAAAGTTGCAGTGCACTATTTTTTGTTCTCAAAAGTATTTTTTCAAATTAGAGAATATTGACAAGAAACTCATGGGACGGTACGATGTCACTTCATTTTCTGTCTTGTTCGGTTTAAGGATCATCATTATCTCTGCACATTTTATTGGCTTGGGATGTGGTCAACTCTTAAGATCGCATTGAATGAGAAATCGTATACACTTTGGTGGTAAATTCTTTAGGGTTTACCATATATTAGTTTGGCAAATATCTCCCTTGAAGCAGGCGATCGACCAGAAGCGTCCAGAATTGGCCAACAGGAAGGGTGTAGTGTTCCACCAGGACAACGCCAGACCACACACTTCGTTGATGACTCGTCAGAAGCTACGGGAGCTCGGATGGGAGGTTTTATCGCATCCACCATATAGCCCGGACATAGCGCCAAGTGATTACCACCTGTTCCTGTCCATGGCGAATGCCCTTGGTGGTGTAAAGTTGAACTCAAAAGAGGCTTTTGAAAAGTGGCTGTCCGAGTTCTTCGCAAATAAGGAGGGGGGCTTCTACGAGGGAGGTATTATGAAGTTGCCATCTAGATGGAAACAGATTATCGAACAAAACGGCGCATATTTGAACTAAATCCGATCACTGTAACACTTTTTATAAGGCATTGAATAAAGAGCAAAAAAGCGGAAGGGAGATATTTTCCAACCTATTATTTGGTCCGAACCTGGAGCCTTTCTATTGTTCAAGCATTCAATTTCTGATGTAACTTCATTAATACTGATTTTACGAATGGGTAAGCTCATTGACATGGTGACTCGAGAAAGTTATCTACTTCGTTCTCTTTGCGGGTTATCAATATCATTTGGCTGAAATACGGAGTGCTGGTGTTGTCCAAATGCTTTGGCTTGTTCATCATCAGATCTACACCATTCGCTATTACTATTTCGGACTACCGTGTTTCTTTTTGCAGGTCGCATAAGATAATTAGTTGATATTATGTTCGTGATTACAAGAATGTGGATCTAGGTTTATAAGATATTCAGCGAGTGATTAATTTCTTAAAGTTGACAGTAGTTTTTTGAGATCAGATGCAGCCTTGTTATAGGATCTTTTGTCGGCAGGGTAGAGGGTTCTTACCATCTTTTACCCAAATTTCTCTTGTTTTGTATTGATTTGATTGTGGGTTGCTGGCTGAATGCTTCGTACATGTGTAACTTGCTTTATGGATCTTATTTGTACGAAGCTCAACAGCATGGTCTATCTCTTCTCCCGATTTTAACGAGATATAGCTGTTTCCAAATAGCTTTAAAACGCATTGATGTCAGTATTTGCTGAAATTATTTTGTATGGTTTTATCAATGTATGAGCTACTGTACTGTATGTCACTATTATTGGAGAATGGTCTGAGCTTAGATCAAAACTTTCCATTATGCGCATGTGTGATTGTGGAATATCAAGAATTGCTACGAAGTCTATTAAGTCTGGTATCTTTCTACTGTCAGTAGGCTTGTCGGTTGAAAGAGTTGTTATGTTGTTATTTTGTATGCATTTATAAAAATTGCTTCCCTTCGGATTTGTCAATCTGGAGCCCTACCAAGGTGTTTAGCATTAAAGTCTCCTCCTACTATAAACTGTGTTAAAAAAATTTCGTATAATCTGCTTCTTTGAGACGAAATCTTGGGGGGAAATAAATCGCTGTTATAGATACGTCTGCGTGCATACATTTGATCAGCCTGCATAGCGTTTTCTCTAATGCTGTAAATTAATTTTAGAATTCACTTATATCATTGATATCAAATAGAAAATTGGGTGGGGTCTTGGCTGAATCAGTTGTTCTGTCTTCGTTACCTTCGTTAACTCTTTTATTGGGCAATCCGTCGCTTAAGAGAGCGAATGAATTAGCGCTGGTGCTTGGTAAGTTGTCCAGCGAAGCTTTTTCTCTGCGAACTTTGGGAGAGACTTTGCATGGTCTCTTGTCTGGCTTTTATTTTACTCTCTGCCAGTTTCAAACAGTTAGGTCTTCGTCACTGTCACTCATGTCGACAACAGTTTGTTGGTGCTTATCATCAACCACAGAATTGTTGTTGGATTTTATTATTGTTGTACTTTATGATTGTAACACAAGAAATAAATGAATTCAATGCTTAAGCAAAGCTTCCGCACAAACTAGGCATGTCTGAACTCGAAGAGTTTTCGATCGCAAGTCAAAAAATAAAAAACAGAAGTCTTAAAAGAAGTCAGAAAGGACAGTTGAGTTCAGTTTGGGACCTACAATCGGTGATTTCCACTCAAATTTTTAAACTAGTTTGTTAAAATAAAATATAATTATTTTTTATAATAAATACATAATTATATATTAAAAAGAGAATGGATTTCTCACCAATTATATTTAGCAACAATATTCATTCATATTCACAAAAATATACTACAAAATAAATTAATTTGAATAGCTAATAACTATTAATAAATAATATTAATTATAACAAATAAATAAGTAGATTTCCATAAATAATATAAATAAATCAATTTGAATAGCTAATACGTATGGAAAAATAAATAAATAAATAAATATAAATAAATATACAAGAAAAGATAGATGAAATGAAACAGAACACTGAAATAAAACTTACTAACTCTTACTTGACGGACCACCAATTAGAATTATCCTTTTATTCTTTCCGTTAGAGTATTCTGCTTGCGACGTGGAAAATATATTTAAAGTTAGTGACTCTTAGGTGCTTATGTCCGCTGGTGCTGCCTCAAGAATTCAATATGGCAATGAAGAGGTTGCATATTATGTTTTTTTTTAACTCTTTAGTATATTTATTAGTACAGAACACCAGTATACAAGTAAAAAATATGCATACTTATGTAAATTTCCAAATTTCAGTATTTGAAATGGAAATAATATTTTTTTGAATGTTTTTTTTATATTCTAATTTGTTATTTTTAAAAACCGTGCAATTTTGGGTGGGTAAAAAGGCGCCCCAAATTTATTGTTTCTTCTCTTAGTTCCTCTTAATCCTTTTGCTTAAAACTAACAAATACATAGAGCACATCGTTTGTTATAAATTTTAATAATATATCCTTATTTATACTCAATAAAAGTTTATATGTAAAGTTCAGTTGTAAACGGTAGCTAATTCGAGCGGCGATTTCAACTAACGATTATTAAAATAACTTCTTAAAAAAATAATAGTCACGGTATTAATTAATTACAACGAAATTAACCAAAACAATAATCAAATCAGTTTCTTAGATCAAAATTGATTTCGGACCAAAAATCGTCTTCTAGCACAACTACACACTTTTTTGTTTCCTGTTTTCAATCACTCAATTTTATGCGAGCGGGAAGAGAGCAATTATTTCCGCCACTAAAATAGTGGCTGCATAGTGCAAAACCAATGTTACACAGCCGTTACGTATCTTATTATTCTAGTGTCTTTGGTATCAGATAGTTAAAGATACGTAATTTTTTATTTTTATTCCTCCTTATTTTTATCAGTAAAAGGCGTGATGCGTGTCCAAACTGTTCTTGGTATATTGATAAAATGTTTGTTTGTTTTTAATGAATGGCATTGTTTTTTAAGTAGTTTTCTTTTTAACTAATAGTCTGTGGCATTGGGGTAAATACAAGTGTTTTAGTGTATTATGTGTTGGTGCTAGGAGCTGATACGCAGCTATTGCCGCATGCCGCCAAGAAACGTATGAGTCCTGTGACTCTGTAAATTCAGCCAGATATTTAACGGCGTCTAAAGTCGCGCTACATTGAGGATTATTAGTTATGTCTTTGGGATCGTAGGCTCTAATTTCGGGGGCCACGGCTAAGGTGGGCGCGACATGTGTTGCTGTCAACTGGTTGCTCAGTCCCTGAATTGGCTGATACAGATAAACTTCTACGAGTTGGTTTTTGGCAGCCACTTCCGCTAAAGCGTCGGCGTGTAAATGCCCGTGTCCTGGATAAGGGCTAGGTTGCTAGCGTAAGCTCGTCGTATTTTGATCGTGGGATCTTGGTAAGCCTCTCACCTCTCTATCATAACGAGAATAAATATTGGAAGTGCATGTGAAAATAATTACATTCGTACCGTTCGTCAGTCAGCAGTCCTCACTGCTCCACAGGCTTAGCTGTTAGCGTTTACTATGATCGGGTAATGTTTCGGCCACATTCCCTCCCCTTCACACATCCGTGTGCCTTTTGACAAGGCTGTCCGTCAAACGTTGTGTTGTCATTTCTGACCTACTCCACTTCTCGCGTCAGCACCTCTTTTGAAATAACATATCTTTATTGATTAATTTATTGCTGGCTAGTGTCATGTATAATATAAGAATTAACGGCTCTAAGAAGTTGACAACGATTGTTTTAGCGAAGAGTATCCAATTCACCACCGGACAACGGTGCACACGCCAACAAAAATTGTTGGCTATTCACGACTATAAAAGTTGCTCTGAGGACTGTTGTCTTTGCATATCAAAAACAAGGCGGATACTCGCCGCTGTGAAGTTTTTGTTATACCCGGTACTTGTAGAATAAAAGGGTATACTAGATTCATTGAAAAGTATGTACAATATTGCCATGCCCACTCTAATGCCCACAAACAGACCAAAACTGTCACGCCCACACATTTTTTAAAATGTTAAGCTTTTTTACATTATTTTTGTTTCTAATTTCGACCAATATTCCAAAAAATTTTGAAATTTCTCGTTTTCACTTCCACTCGTTTTCACTAATGCCCACAAACCGCACCAAACTGTCACGCCCACACTTTTTTAAAAATTTTAAGTTTTTTAAATTATTTTTGTTTCTAATTTCTACCAATATTCCAAAAAATTTTGAAATTTCTCGTTTTCACTTCCACTCGTTTTCACTAATGCCCACAAACCGCACCAAACTGTCACGCCCACACTTTTTTAAAAATTTTAAGTTTTTTAAATTATTTTTGTTTCTAATTTCTACCAATATTCCAAAAAATTTTGAAATTTCTCGTTTTCACTTCCACTCGTTTTCACTAATGCCCACAAACCGCCCCAAACTGTCACGCCCACACTTTTTTAAAAATTTTAAGTTTTTTTAAATTATTTTTGTTTCTAATTCCTACCAATATTCCAAAAAGTTTTGAAATTTCTCGTTTTCACTTCCACTAGCTGTTATTTCTACCAATAGTAAACATCAACGATAACCAAGAACGCAATCTGGAACCAGCTGAAAATTTGCAGCAACAAGCCTTGGAAAACCCTAATATATAAAAATTAAATACAAAAAAAATAGTTCTAAATGCCTTATCAATACCGGATCCACAGTTAACCATACCTTCAAAGATTTTGTTCCCAACACCTAATGAATTTTTGTTGCACCCTTTCTCTGAAAACTACGACCCCTTTCATTAGGAAGAAAACTTTTGGCAGAGGTAAAAGCAACAATTAGTTACCACGATCAAGTAGTGACTCTGTACAGCAACAAATACGAACTGAGCGAAGGCAAAACAGAACAAGAACAGTCACTGGAACCTGATACCATGCTCCCGACAACCAAAAAATAATTCACACATACTAAAATCAGACCTATACATATTGGAACATGTTAATGATGAAGAAAAACAAAGATTGTGTGCACTCCTGCAGCAATAGCATGACATACAGTACCACGAAGGTGACAAGTTGACTTTTACTAATCTAACAAAACATACCAAGCACAATCTACCCATTTATACCAAATTATACAGTTACCCACAGGCTTAAGAGCAAGAGGTGGAAAGTCAAAATATATGCTAAATCAGGGTATTATACGTACCAGCAACTCACCTTACAATAGCCCCATCTGGGTTGTCCCAAAGAAACAAGATACATCAGGCAAACAAAAATTCAGAATTGTATTAGACTACCGAAAATTGAATGAAATCACAGTAGGAGACAGACATCCGATCCCAAATATGGACGAAATCTTAGGAAAACTAGGCAGATGCAATTATTTCACAACTATAGACCTGGCAAAGGGTTTTCACCAAATCGAAATGGATCCAGATTCAGTTTCACAGGCTGCCTTTTCCACCAAGCACGGTCATTATGAGTATTTACGCATGCAATTCGGATTAAAAAACGCACCAGCCACCTTTCAACGGTGCATGAATGATATCTTGCGACCACTCTTAAATAAACACTGTCTCGTGTACTTGGACGACATAATTGTATTCTCAACATCCCTTGATGAGCACCTACAATCGCTCGAACTGGTTTTCGAAAAACTAGTAAAAGCCAACCTTAAGCTACAGCTTGACAAGTGTGAGTTTCTAAAGCAGGAAACCACATTTCTGGGACATGTCTTAACACCAGACAGCATAAAACCAAACCCTAAACAAATTAAAGCTATTCAAAAATATCCAATTCCCACTAAACCAAATAAAATATAAGCTTTCTTTGGACTGACGGGATACTACCGTAAGTTTTTCCAAATTTTTCCAAATTTTGCAGACATAGCCAAACCTATGACGAAATATTTAAAAAAGAATACGAAAATTGACACTACCAATCCAGAATATGATTCGGCATTCAAAAAATTAAAATATCTAATATCAGAGGACCCAATTCTTAAAGTACCCGATTTTACAAAGAAATTTACATTAACCACAGACGCAAGCGAGGTCGCTTTAGGAGCTGTACTCTCACAAGAGGGACACCCACTTAGTTACATTAGCCGAACGCTTAATGAGCACGAAACTAATTACAGCACAATTGAAAAAGAACTCTTAGCAATAGTGTGGGCGACAAAAACTTTTCGACGTTACCTACTTGGAAAACACTTTGAAATATCCAGTGACCACCAGTCAAAACTCAATTCAAAACTCACCCGATGGAGAGTAAGATTATCCGAATTCGATTTTGACATAAAGTATATAAAAGGAAAAGAAAACTGCGTAGCAGACGCCCTGTCCAGAATAAAAATTGAGGAAACATACTTGAGCGAACAAACCCAACATAGTCCAGAGGAAGACAATAGTGACTTAATCTTTATTACAGAAAGACCAATAAACACATTTAACAGACAGGTAATATTCTCAAAAGGACATATTTTAAAAAACAAATCCTTTCAGAGAAAAAGCTGAACAATATTTGATAGACCATTTTTGCGGTAAGAAGAGTGCGTTGTTCATTGAGAGTGACGCAGATTTCGAAGTCATTCAGGCCGCACACAAACAAACCATAAACACCAAATATACAAAAATCTTACGCAGTTCAATTTTATTGAAAAACATAACCACTTACGCAGAATTTAAAGAATTGATCTTGACTACTCATGAAAAACTTCTACACCCAGGCATACAAAAAACAAATAAACTTTTCGGAGAAACTTACTATTTCCCTAATAGCCAGCTACTTATCCAGAATATAATAAACGAATGCAATATTTGCAATCTGGCAAAAACAGAGCACCGCAGCACAGATATGCCAATGAAAACCACACCCAAACCAGAACATTGCCGCGAAAAATTCATGATAGACATTTATTCATCTGAAGGCAAACATTACGTTAGTTGCATGGACATTTATTCAAAATTTGCCACATTAGAAGAAATAAAAACAAAAGACTGGATAGAATTCAAAAATGCGCTTATGCGTATATTTAACCAGCTTGGCAAACCAAAATTACTAAAGGCAGACAGAGACGGCGCATTTTCCAGTTTGGCCCTAAAGCGATGGCTGGAGAGTGAGGAAGTTGAATTGCAGCTTAACACAACAAAAACTGGTGTAGCGGACATAGAGAGACTACATAAAACAATTAATAAAAGATTCGCATAATCAAAACATCCGACGACGACGAAACCAAATTAAGTAAAATAGAAACAATACTTAACATATACAATCACAAGACCAAACACGATACCACTGGACAGACCCCTGCACACATATTTCTCTACAGCGGACAACCAATATTAGACACCCAACAAAACAAAGAAAACAAAATGAATAACGACAGAGCAGATTATGAGGTTGACACTTGACACTGAAAAGGACCACTACATAAAGGCAAATTAGAAAACCCATTTAAACCAAACAAAAATGTAGAACAGACAGACTCTGACCATTACAAAATCACTAATAGAAATAGAGTTACTCACTACTACAAAACACATTTCAAAAAGCGAAAGAAAAATAATCAACTTTTAATTTCACAGGCACCTGGCACCTGATAACATTATTGCTTGTGCTGATCACAACGGTCCACGGACAGCAAATTCAAATTAATAATATTGACACCAACCACGGATATCTCCTTTTTTCCGATAAGCCAGTCCAGATACCATCCTCCTTTGAATATCATTGCTTGAGAATCAATTTAACTGAAATACACATTGTGGCCGACTATTTTGAGCAAAGGCTACAAACCAATTACCATGCACCCCAGGTCAAATTTTTATACAATAAAATGAAAAGAGAACTAGCCGGAATAACCCTGCAACACAGAAACAAACGGGGACTTATTAACATTGTGGGCTCAGTTTTCAAATACTTGTTTGACACACTCGATGAAAATGATCGAGTAGAAATACAGAAGAAACTTGACATGAACGCCCATAACTCAGTAAAACTATATGAACTCAACGACGCTATACGATTAATAAATGACGGAATGCAAAAGATACAGAATCATGAAAATAACAACAACATCATTAACACTCTTTTATTCGAACTAATGCAGTTCACAGAATATGTAGAAGATTTGGAAATGGCCATGCAGCTTTCCAGACTCGGGACTGTTTAACCCCAAATTACTAAACTATGACAAACTTGAGAATGTGAATAGCCAGAATATTTTAAACATCAAAACATCCACTTGGATTAACTACAATGATAACCAATTATTAATCATATCCCACATACCCATTAACTTTTCATTAATAAACACAATTAAAATAATCCCTTACCCAGATTCCAACGGCTATCAGCTAGATTACACAGACACACAATCATATTTTGAAAGAGCAAATAAAATTTACAATGCTGAAAATAAAGAAATAACAATGAATGTGTCACTAATATTATTAAACACTTAAAACCAATTTGTAATTTTAAGCCAGTGCACACGAAAGAAATAATAGAATACATAGAACCTAACACAATTGTAACTTGGAACTTAACCCAAACCATTCTTAAACAAAATTGCCAAAACCCCATTAATAATATAAAAATAAAAGGAAACAAAATGATAAGAGTAACCCAATGCAAAATAGAAATCGATGGCATAATTTTAAGTGAAAATCTTTTAAAACCAGAAATAGACTTGACACCCCACTTAATATAACATAAATAAAAATTGTAAAACATAACGACATCGTTAAAATGATTTCAGAAAACAACATTACACTTTACATACTAATGACCATTGTCATAATTGCACTTATTTTATTGTATTTATATTTAAGATTTGTAGCATTTAACCCATTCATGAATAAGAAATCAAAATCAAAACACACCACAACAAATAGAAATGGAAGAAGCTCCATTACCCCTACTATATCCATCGATCCCAGCCCAAGTATAGGCTTCCCTTTAAGGGGAGGGTAGTGACGTATTTGCGCCACCCAAACCGGCCAATTTAATTATTTCAAAGAACTATAAACAATAAAGCGCTTAATTGATTCCCATACTGTATGCCATCTGCGCAGTATGCGTTTTAATAAACAATTCTTTGGCAACGGCACTTAGCCGTTCTTGTAAACAAATCCTAAAGCCTGACCCAAGCAGCTTTGCCTGCTCTCAATGAAGCTTCTCCCAAACTTAAGTATCCAAGAGCAACGCTCTCCCAAAATACAATATTCCTAAAATACTGAGGCTTCTCCTCAATCTCACTTGCATTTGATTTTTAGTCTTAAGCTGAATACTGAACAATAAAGATCACAATCCAACCCGATTTGTAATTTCTTTTATTTGACAAAACTTCGGTTACAGCGTTGGTCTTAGTTACTGCAACGGTCCATTTAATAGACTCAAAAGTTATATAAAAAAGTGAAAAAATATCACATTTTTAAAAAGTGTGGGCGTGACAGTTTTGGACAGTTTGTGGTCGTTAAATTTGGTGTAGCAAAGAGTTTTTTGCCAAATCGATAAAAATTTACAAGCCTAATAAAAACATTAAGAAATATCAAATCATTTTCAAAAGGGTGATCGTGGCGAATATTGGCGGTTTGTGGGCGTTAGGATGGGCGTAGCAAAAAGATTTTTGCCAAATCGATAGATTTTAACAAAACTAATTAAAGAATTTAAAAATATCAGCTCAATTTCAATAAGTGTGGGCGTGGCATTTTTTACGGCTTGTGGTTGTTAGAGTAGGCTATAATTTCTCTACCAAATCTATAGAAATTTACAAATGTAATTAAAAAATATGAAATCATTTTTAAAAAAGTGTGGCCGTTGGATTTTCTGTCGGTTTGTAAGCGTTACGGTGGCGTAGCAAAAAGTTTTTTTTTGCCAAATCGATAGACATTTACAAAGCTAATAAAATAATTTAAAAATATCAAATCATTTTTAATAGGTGGGGGCGTGGCTATTAGAGTAGGGGTGGTTTCCTAACAAATCAACAAAAATTACAACTAATAAAATTTTATTAAAAATCATATAATTTTCAAAAAGATTGGGTGTGGCATTTTTGGATGGTTTGTGGGCGTGGCAACATCATTTAACAAACTTGCGCTGCGTCTATGTCTCTGGAATCTGCATGCCTAATCTCAGCTTTTACAGTTCCTGAGATGTCGACATTCATACGGACGGATAGACAGACGAACATGGCCAGCTCGACTCTGCTATTGACCCTGATCTATATTTTTCTGAGATACTTTATAGTCATCATACCCTTTTAATCTACGAGTATTGGGTATAAAAACACACACATTGGAAAAAAATGGAAAAAAAAGATTTGGGCATTAGTCGGCGCGTAGTTCAACGGGCTGGATCAATTTAACATATAATACTTAGGGTATTAGGTATTATTATATGATCTCGCTTTAGACAATCATGAAGAGGGGCTGCAATCTGCATTTAATTTTGTACCACTCAGTTATGACCAAAAACCTATGCATTTGTTTGTCGAAACTTGTCTGGGGAAAATCACATTAATTTTCAGTTTTTTTTTTACCAGCTCTTTACTCTCAGCGCTTACTTCAATGTTAAGCTCTGCTAAAGAATTTATTATGAAGGATAATAGCAAGTCCACCATTTGCGAGTTAATTTCGTCTTTAGGGAGTTCTACAATTGTATTCTCAGCGAATTTTTTGAATTTCAAAGACATCGTCGCTGAATGATTCGCTATGTTCTTGCTTTCTTTTCATCGATTCTTTGACCTCCATCAGGTCACTTCTGGTCGTGTAAAAAACATTTCCCTAATTGGCGAATAGTAGTCGAAGTTGTAATCCTTTGCTCTGCAATCATTTTATTTATAATTATAAAATTGCCAGAATTTTATTTGATATTGAGGAAGCATACTCGAAAAACCGATTAATGCATTAGTGGTAAGTCTGCACCTCCGGCTGCTTCATCCATTGCGTCGATTTCTCTGTCGGTCAGATTTTTTACTTGCCCTGGATAGTTTTCAAAGGCCTTCTCTGTCAACAGTATCGTATAGTCGGAGAGTGTCTTCGGAGAGCGCTCGCACTTCGGGGTATACGGTTCTACTAACGCGTGACTGATCGGGAAACACTCCCGGTTGTCAGTTGGAATAAGACCTTATCTCCCTTCATTAAGGTGTCCTTTGCTTTACCAAAACACTAGTTACCGCCCGCTAATTTCTGTTACCGAAGGGCAAATAATAATAATATAAAATGTTGGGGTATCGTATGCTATCAATAAGTCTTTCTTCGGTTATAGCCACAAAATTGATATAAAACAATTGACGGGATGTGTTGGTCGTTTAATCAACATGCCTGGCCGACATGCATCAGCTTCGACTTTTTAGAAAGCTTTTACAAAGTTCCTTACTAGAACCAAAGACACTAGAATAATAAGATGTGTAACGCCATACAATTTTTTTGAAGACGATTTTTTCGTTCTGGCTCCAGACTCTCTCGAATTTTTGTTCATTTATTATTTCACTTCGGAAGTTTATGGATTTTCAATCTATAATATTTGTACTGGATTGCCACCAAGTAATAAACTCTAATTTTGCATTGCTTTAATTCGAGCCTAAATAATTTCATAAATTACTTTATACTAAAAAATATGTCGTTAGAGAATTCAGCTCGCGACGTGGAAAATATAATATATTTGAAGTTAAAGATTCTTAGGTGCCCTGGTCCTGCCTCAAGAATTCAATTTGCAATAAACAGGTAGCATATGACGTTTGTTAACTATTTAGTATATTTATTAGTACAAAAGTATTAGTATACAAGTAAAAAAATATGCATACTTACACTGGTGACAACCGATTAGCACACCCTATGCTGCTCGTCTTAGAAACTTAATATCAGGAAAACTAAAAAAGCTTTTCAAATAAAAGCTCCCCTTAAAAGAATATATAATTTCACACTAAAATAATAGAATCCTATCTTCTAACTACTACTAACTTTATTAATAACATTTGAAATTAATGTAAACATACATAACATACAAAATTCAATATTATTTTTGCGACAGCCGATTAGCACAGTCACTTGAAAACTTAAAATAACAAAAGAAAATGGGGTCAAACTTCATTCAAATGTTATTTTTTAATATTAATTTAAATATTTTTAACCTATTTTAAAAACAAATTAATAATGGACTCGTGTGTGGATAGCTGCGTTGTCCTGCTGGAACTTCCATTTCAAGGGTCCACAAATATCCTTGATTGCAGGGAAAGCCGTATTCAGTAAGCCTTTGTACGCAATGACATTCATACGGCTGGTAAGAAACTGCAGTTCTATAGTGCCAAAGTATGCTATAGCTCCCCACACCATGACACCACCCGCACGGCTGTGCAATCGATCAAAAGTATGTTCTTCCTTTCTAAACTCTTTTTCATCTGAAAAGACTACACGCTCCCACTCCTTAGTCCATGTCATATTTGATCGACAGAAATTGAGTCGTTGCATCTTTCTAAGTTGGTTTAGAGGTGTTTTTTTTTTTTTTTAATATTAGATGCTTTATATGTTCAGCATTCGAAATAACTCTTTGCACAGTCCGAACGCACGCTAGTTTTTTTCTTTATTTTGGCGGCTGAGTCACGGCATCGATTTTCAAATAATATTTTATTAGACCATATTACAACGAAATTGATAATCAAATAATCAAATTCATTTCTTAGAGAAAAATTGATTTCGGACCGGAAATCGTCTTCTGGTACAACTAAACGCACATGCACACTTTTTTACTTAATGTTTTCACTCACACAAGCAAAATAATTATATTTTTAGATTTTTATATTTATATTATTTATTTATATTATATTTTTTTTAACGCGAGCGGGGAGAGAGTAATTATTGCCGCCCCCAAAAAAGTGGCTGCATAGTGCAAAACCAATGTATGACCGATATGCATCTTATTATTCTAGTGTCTTTGCTAGAACTGACCCACCCAAACAGTGTTTCCTCTTGCTAAGGAACTTTTTGTTCCTTCGGAACTAGCTGATCTAAAGCCAGTGTTTTCCCAAAACCCTCTCCCGCCAGTAGACGGAAAATCAAGCTGTTTGACCGATACATTCGGACTCCACAGCCTGCTGTTATTTGACCGATTCGTTTGCGTCGCGAGCCTCACCTACTACTAGGCTACGTCGCTCAAGAAGTCATAGAAGAAAAAAAGTTTTGAACATATCAAACAACAAAGCTTATTTGGCCTATCAGGTTGGCAGCGTTGGCTTTACGTTTTTCGGTTAGTTTCCTCATCCCCTCTGCCAAGGATCGACTTGTCCACTCTCGCAGCAGTCGCGAACTTTAATATAAGGTTGTCAAATATCTCCGCCTTTTTGTCTTTTGAATTTCGCGGCTATTTACAAAGCGCTACAGAGCTCGTATCTGGCAATACTATACATAATTTGAAAGGTCTAGACATAACCTACAAAACGACGCTATGCATGATTAGGATATTTGGATATTAGGATTTGGATATTGCGTTCAACAGTTATAGACGTGTAAACATGGAGTTCACTAACGCCGAAATTCGCGCTATTTTAAAGTTTTCCTTCGTTAAAGGCAAATCCGCTAGAGAAACGCTCCGTGAGATTAATGGTGTTTTGGGGGATGGTACTCTATCGCTTCGAACCGCGGAGGAATGGTTTCGACGATTCAGAGCCGGTGAAAACGACACCATGGATAAGCCAGCCGGCGGAAGACCTGTGACGACAAATACCGATCAAATCATGGAATACATCGAGTTAGACCGGCATGTGGCATCTCGTGACATCGCCCAGGAGATGGGAGTTAGTCACCAAACCATTTTAAACCATCTGCAGAAGGCTGGATACAAAAAAAAGCTTGATGTTTGGGTGCCACATGATTTGACGCAAAAAAACCTTTTGGACCGAATCAACGCCTGCGATATGCTGCTGAAACGAAACGAACTCGACCCATTCTTGAAGCGGATGGTGACTGGCGACGAAAAATGGATCACATACGACAATATCAAGCGAAACCGGTCGTGGTCGAAGGCCGGTGAATCGTCCCAAACAGTGGCCAAGCCGGGATTGACGGCCAGGAAGGTTTTGCTGTATGTTTGGTGGGATTGGAAGGCAATCATTCATTATGAGCTGCTCCCATATGGCCAGACGCTTAATTCTACCATCTACTGCGAACAACTGGACCGCTTGAAGCAGGCGATCGACCAGAAGCGTCCAGAATTGGCCAACAGGAAGGGTGTAGTGTTCCACCAGGACAACGCCAGAGCAAACACTCTGTTGATGACTCGTCAGAAGCAACGGGAGCTCGGATGGGAGGTTTTATCGCATCCACCATATAGCCCGGACATAGCGCCAAGTGATTACCACCTGTTCCTGTCCATGGCGAATGCCCTTGGTGGTGTAAGGTTGAACTCAAAAGAGGCTTGTGAAAAGTGGCTGTCCGAGTTCTTCGCAAATAAGGAGGGGGGCTTCTACGAGGGAGGTATTATGAAGTTGCCATCTAGATGGAAACAGATTATCGAACAAAACGGCGCATATTTGAACTAAATCCGATCACTGTAACACTTTTTATAAGGCATTGAATAAAGAGCAAAAAAGCGGAAGGGAGATATTTTCCAACCTATTATATATAGGTATAAGCTGATAGCAATTTAAACAAAGACAATTTTTTTTAATTAGTCGTAATATCTAAAATTGTTCTGAATAATTTTCTACCTACAATAAGGACGTATGGCAGAGTTGTGTAGCATTAAATAATAATAATCATTAACCATTAACCATTTTTATAACCTACCTGGCCAACAAAACTGGGAATTTCATAGTTGTGCCATCCTTTTAAAATATTATTTCCCTTTTTTGAAAAGCCGTTGTCACTCAATAAAGGTTGACACCCAGATTCATTTAAAATGGCTGTAATCTTTTCTGTGGGTATAATAGGGTTATGATCCATCTCGCCAATATTTCCATGCTGCGGAGTGGCGTGACCGTGATCCAATCCAGCTGGTGTTGAGTCTCCTTGATTAAAATCGTCCCCCATGTCATGATTCGTGTTTCTTGGTGTTAAAGGCATCTCAGTTATTGATGATAACTGTTCCATTTCATTTAAGGACAAAAGGTCTGGACTTCGCATACTATCAAAAAATGTCAATTCATTTTGACATGCCATACTTTCTTGCTCTTTTGATACAATGTCCACAGAAACGGTAGATATCCCTAGAGATTTATGATTCTCTCTCAGGACTTCAGGAGCTTCCAAACTTTGAATAAGTGAATCGGCTGCATGGTCCAAATACGAATTAGACACAATTTCATTCTTACGTTTGCGCCCTTTTTTATTAAAAATAATTAATGCGTTCTCGTTTTCTTTGGCATAAGATTCCAGTGCAAGAATTTCCATTGGTGCAACACTTGAAAAGTCCTCAAAGAATTTTGAATGCGAAAACAACTGTCTATTGTAATTACTGAACAAAGCTCTAGCTGGAATGGATCGCGAAGGTAATGAAAAAAGTTTTTCGACACCTCCAGTTTCTTTCCAATACATTAACCTAAAATAAAGGTTTGTGTTCACGTTGATTATTTTTTTAGTTTGTATAAATTACATACACATAATACCTTTTCGTTGGTGGGGCCAGATCAAGTGTGGTTAATATATCAGATGTATCGGCTAACTGAGCCTTCATTTCTTCTCCAGAAATATTTTTTATTTCGTCGATAATAAGTTTTCTTTTGCGTTTGGCTTTGGTTACGCCTTTATGAATCGATGCATCTAAAGGAGCTAACGCAAATCCCTCATCTTCGTTTTGAATTAGCGTTATTTCATTTATTGGCACATTTTCGGATACACTAGCATGCTCATTCAAATTATTTTCTAAAATAGTTTATTATTAATAACAAATTTATAGAGATATCTTATTAAGTCTTTTACCCTCTTTCTCATCTTCAATTGAATTAGCGAGCGAGGATGCAGGCGACGGAACGTTATGAATATTATCAATGGCGTCTTCATCAGATTCATCTGTGTTGATAACAGCAGAAGCTTTGGGAATCTGCTCAACTGACTGAGAGGAATCACCGAAAAGATCGTCTTCAAAAAGGGCTGGTTCTAAAAAAAATGTATATTTAAGGCTGATCACAGGCAAAGCTTAATAAAATTTAAAACAAAAGTTACAAATTTTCTTATCAATTCTTTTCTTTGTTTACATTTTTTAATCCGTTACTAGTAGAGTAAAAGGGTATACAAGATTCGTTGAAACATATGTAACATGTAGAAGAAAGCGTTTTCGATCATATAAAGATCAGGATCAATAGCGGAGTCGATCTGACCAAAGACACTAGAATAATAAGATGCGTAACGCCATACGTTTTTTTTTGCACACGATTTTTTCGTGCTGGCTCCAGGCTCTCTCGAACTTTTGTTCAAGAGCCAGCAGCTCTCTTGTACGCATACAGCGACAGCCGATCACTGTATGTGTATGCACACGTATGCTCATATAATATGTTGTCTAATATCGCTTTTTTGCTCTTTATTCAATGCTTTATAAAAAGTGTTACAGTGATCGGATTTAGTTCAAATATGCGCCGTTTTGTTCGATAATCTGTTTCCATCTAGACGGCAACTTCATAATACCTCCCTCGTAGAAGCCCCCTTCCTTATTTGCGAAGAACTCGGACAGCCACTTTTCACAAGCCTCTTTTGAGTTCAACTTTACACCACCAAGGGCATTCGCCATTGACAGGAACAGGTGGTAATCACTTGGCGCTATGTCCGGGCTATATGGTGGATGCGATAAAACCTCCCATCCGAGCTCCCGTAGCTTCTGACGAGTCATCAACGAAGTGTATGGTCTGGCGTTGTCCTGGTGGAACACTACACCCTTCCTGTTGGCCAATTCTGGACGCTTCTGGTCGATCGCCTGCTTCAAGCGGTCCAGTTGTTCGCAGTAGATGGTAGAATTAAGCGTCTGGCCATATGGGAGCAGCTCATAGTGGATGATTCCCTTCCAATCCCACCAAACACACAGCAAAACCTTCCTGGCCATCAATCCCGGCTTGGCCACTGTTTGGGACGATTCACCGGCCTTCGACCACGACCGTTTTCGCTTGATATTGTCGGTCCAGAAGGTTTTTTTGCGTCAAATCATGCGGCACCAAAACATCAAGCTTTTTTTTGTATCCAGCCTTCTGCAGATGGTTTAAAATGGTTTGGTGACTAACTCCCATCTCCTGGGCGATGTCACGAGATGCCACATGCCGGTCTAACTCGATGTATTCCATGATTTGATCGGTATTTGTCTTCACAGGTCTTCCGCCGGCTGGCTTATCCATGGTGTCGTTTTCACCGGCTCTGAATCGTCGAAACCATTCCTCCGCTGTTCGAAGTGATAGAGTACCATCCCCCAAAACACCATTAATCTCACGGAACGTTTCTCTAGCGGATTTGCCTTTAACGAAGGAAAACTTTAAAATAGCGCGAATTTCGGCGTTAGTGAACTCCATGTTTACACGTCTATAACTGTTGAACGCAATATCCAAACTAATCATGCATAGCGTCGTTTTGTAGGTTATGTCAAGACCTTTTAAATTATGTATAGTATTGCCAGATACGAGCTCTGTAGCGCTTTGTACATATCCGCGAAATTCAAAAGACAAAAGGGCGGAAGGGAGATATTTGACAACCTTAAATAACAATTAAATACAAAGAAAATAATTTGAAATGCCTTATTGACACAGATGCCTTATCCACGGTTTACATGATATCCCAAAATATATTTGACCTACCAATCCAAAATACTAATATTCTTATTCAAACCAGCAATGGACCGCTCATAGTTAACAAGAGTATAATCATTCCTTCAAAGATTTTGCTCCCAACACCAAAAGAATTTTTACAGGGTGCGTTATGAAAGTAATGCGTACCTGTCGTAGCACGCTCGGACCTGTCTGAAAATTTGGGGCGGAGTCTCTCCTTTCCAACGCGCTCGGTCTCAGTTCCTGGATGCTCGAGTACGATCCAGAATCCAAACGACAGAGCTCCGAGTGGCATTTTTGCCAAGTCGCACACAAAACTTTATAGCGTACCGCTGTTCCAGCGAACGCTCCGTCGCACCGTGACACAACAGAAAAAATGAATTCGCTCTACGACACGTCCTACCACTTCTATTGCTCAGAGCGAACTGAGACCGAGCGCGTTGGAAAGGAGAGACTCCGCCCCAAATTTTCAGACAGGTCCGAGCGTGCTACGACAGGTAGTTACGTGACAATGAAACCATGCTCATTACTTTCATAACGCACCCTGTATTGCACCCTTTCTCTGAAAACTACGGCCTCTTATTAGGAAGAAAACTTTTGGCAGAGGCAAAAGCAACAATTAGTTACCGCGATCAAGTAGTGACTCTTTACAACAACAAATACGAATTAATCGAACGCAAATCAGCACCAGAACAGAGTCACTTTCAAAACGTAAGCATGGCACCTGACACCATGCTCAGACAACCAAGAAATAGTTCACCCATAATAAAATCAGACCTATACAGATTGGAACATCTTAATAATGAAGAAATACAAAGATTGTGTGCACTCCTGCAGCAATAGCATGACATACAATACCACGAGGGTGACAAATTGACATTTACTAATCAAACAAAACATACCATTAATACCAAGCACAATCTACCCATTTATTCTAAATTATACAGTTACCCACAGGCTTATGAACAAGAAGTAGAAAGCCAAATACAAGATATGCTAAATCAAGGTATTATATGTACCAGTAACTCACCTTACAACAGCCCCATCTGGGTAGTCCCAAAGAAACAAGATGCATCAGGCAAACAAAAATTCAGAATTGTAATAGACTACCGAAAATTGAATGAAATCACAGTAGGAGACAGACATCCGATCCCAAATATGGACGAAATCTTAGGAAAACTAGACAGATGCAATTATTTCACAACTATAGACCTGGCAAAGGGTTTCTACCAAATCGAAATGGATTCAGTTTCAAAGACAGCTTCTTCCACCAAGCACGGTTATTATGAGTACTTACGCATGCCATTCGGATTAAAAACGCAGCAGCCACCTTTCATCGGAGCATGAATGATATTTTGCGACCACTCCAGCACAATTGAACTCTTAGCAATTGTGTGGGCGACAAAAACTTTTCGACGTTACCTACTTGGAAAACACTTTGAAATATCCAGTGACCACCAGTCAAAACTCAATTCAAAACTCACCCGATGGAGAGTAAGATTATCCGAATTCGATTTTGACATAAAGTATATAAAAGGAAAAGAAAATTGCGTAGCGGACGCCCTGTCCAGAATAAAAATTGAGGAAACATACTTGAGCGAAAAAACCCAACATAGCGCAGAAGAAGACAATAGTGACTTAATCTTTATTACAGAAAGACCAATAAATACATTTAAAAGACAAGTAATATTCTCAAAAGGACCACCAGAAATCAAGGCTATGAAATATTTAAAAAACACATCACTCAAATATTTTATGACAGTATGACTAGAGAAAGAGCTGAACAATATTTGATAGACCATTTTTGCGGTAAGAAGAGTGCGTTGTATAAATTAGCTTATTCCTCCGGTCCGGATGTCTTCTGCGTCTCCAGACGCTGGAATGTCTTCTTCCTGAGTCCTCGGTGCGTCCTGCTGCTAAGCCAGAGGATGATGGTTTCTTATGGAAATTAGGATGGAGGGCGTGACTTTGCCCCCTTGGTTGATCGCTGGACTTTTGGCTCAGCGAGAATGTTCAATATAAACAAATGGTATTTTTACGGCCAAGTGCCGGAGTAGCTGTACTTTATTGTTAAAGTGCTAGCTTAAAACTGAATACAAAGAATCGAGAAAATATGAATTTACCCTAGCTCCAATGCATCACGCCATAAACCCATGGTGGGCAAGCCGACTCACCATTTATGTAACGCAATTCGGTACCCCGGATACTGGGTGTCCGATTGCCGCTGGTGACCGTTCTAAGCGCGGAGCGCTGAACTCAGTTGGGGCGTATCAGCATTGTTTGTATGAAGCTACTTAGTTGCTAGGGCATTATGAACGTAAACTATGTTGCTGCTGACTCAAATATATGGAGCGCTCTATTAGTTGTTAACTACTCCCCCCTCAGACCATGACCGTCCTCGGTTATATTAAGCTTATCGATGGTTTGTTGTATTTCGACGGAGGATCGCATTCGAATGATACCAGATGCCTTCCTTTGACGAGTACCTCTGGGCCGCCATCCGTGCTGAAGCGGGCTGTTGCCTCGTTAATGACAACGATGCCGTCATCTATAGGCATTACTGCCCTCAGGTGGCTGGGTTGAGTATGGCTTGAGTATGTGTTTCCCGCATGGAGCGAGCGGGCGCAGGTTTCGCGTCGAGATCGCTCGCAGAAAGTTTTGTGCGTGGTCTCCATACACTCGGTGACCGAAAGGGTGTCTTCTTCACATTTTGCCAAAGTGTCTTCGTCGAGTTGTAGGATTACTTTATAATGTGATACCGGATACACGAGGACATTTTTACATCTGACCTTGACTCTAGGATAGGCTATTAGTAGTAATGTTATCGGACTGAAGAACCCTAATTTTGAGGCTTCTAATAAACTAACTATTGGGGTGTCTTGTTCAATTAGTGATTTTACATCGGCATAATAAGGATAGTGAGATTTACTATGTTAGCTTTAGCGAATTTTACAGTGAGAATTAAATTTAATTTTAAATTAAATTGTCCTCGCTAGTAGTGCCTCGTACAGATGCGGGGTGTCGACCAAATCGTTATTTCGCGTTTTAATAATTTTGTTAATGGTGTCGATTAGCTTGTTTATCTGCTTTTGAGTTTCGGAGTTTAGTTAATCTGCCTGGAGTTTGAGTCCACTAGCTGAGCTTCTGTCATTCTGATTTTTAGGAAATCTAAGGCGTCAGGAGTTCCCGCAACTACCTTAAGAGCTGTACCCAAGAAGTCTAAGCTTCTCGCAATTCGGTGGTGTATTTTTAGAACGGACAACAAGTTTCTAAGATGATCTGTATCAACATCTAATAATTTGCGCATATGCGACTGTGGAAAAGATTCGGACAATTTTTCTGTCTCATCTACCATGCTAAAAAATTCAGATAGGTTGCTCGAGTGCCTCAGGCA